TAGAGGCATATCAACACCTCTATGGGTTATTTAACGCCGAAATCTACATATTTTGTACGTAATTTTATGCTTTCAATTACATATATTTTGTACATAATTTTATACTTCGGTTTAAATATAATTTTCGACAGCAAATAATAATTTTAAATAATGTTCCTCTTGCTAACAGCTATACATTTTATCTTATAAGTAATATTTAGTCCTTCCTTTTCCTATAGTCCACAGGTGTCTATGCAGTTTCCTTCCTGCCATTGCTATCAAAACAACTATTGCAATTTTTTTTCCCACCAAAATATCCTGATAAAGCTTCTAGTTCTCTCAGCATCGCCTCAAAGGTTACATAATTCTGGTAAGAAGACACATCCTTGTCTTACACCCTTTCTATTTTGGTGTATTTATTATATTAATTTTCTATCCGTATATAGGAGGTTTGCCCTCAGTATATGTTTTGATTATTCTAATATCTTTCTCAAATAAATGAAGTTCAAACAGGTCTCTGTGTCTTACCTTAAACCCTTTTACATAATTTGTAAAACGTAGGTATAGATCCTTCTGTATTTGTTTTGCTCTTTCTGATATTATTTTAGCATAAAAATTGCATTTCTTTTTTCACTGTCTTTAACAAACCTACACTCTTCCTTTTCCTGCCTAATTCTACTGTGTACCCTATTCTTCAGAATTCGGATTAGGATTCATTATGTGACTCATTAGGCTGATTGTCCAATGGAGCTCGTATACATTTATACCTGTGTTTTTTTTTAGGCATTGTTATGAAAACCCCAGGTGTTTACATTTTTTTTATTTTGTATTGTAGATTACCTGCTTTCGTCGAGGAAGAGTTCTTCCATATAGCTTCGTAGTGAACAGGTCAAAATCAAGCACGTACAGACATTTAAATGGAAAATGTTTTAAAAGAGAAAGGAAAATATGATACTGAAATAAAAAGACGCATCGGAATAGCGAAAGAACTCTTTCAATAGATGTAAGTATGTCTTCGAGGATACCCGTCTACTAGGGCGGGTAGCCGATCCCTATTGCAGACGCTTTCTCAGGCACATTTATTCAACACCCACTGAGGTTTATACTACAACTCGGTCACGATGACTTGTGACTTCGGGCTAGCACAGCTATCGACAGCTCCCAGTTTCACTTACAAGTCTTGGTATGGTTTTCATTTTCCAAATGTGCCGCTCGTTGGGATCGACCCTCCAGTCCCATAACATCATGAATTCTCCTTCTTGACAAATCGACCCGGGTCCTATGGTCAGAATGCCAACGTTGCTATACTTTTGTTTTATACATATATCACATTTATGTAACAGACAGTATATTGGCCTGAAAACAATCCGCGACCAAGACGCACAAAAGACCAAAGAATAGTATCTGTTCCAGCATTAGCCACAGCCGGCAAACTGCTGTAGGCATCATCATCAGCAGTAGCATACAGCAATCATCGTCATTGCCGCCGCTCCAGACAGCTAGCCAAATGTTCAGTAGGCCATCAGAAACGATATGCGATAAACGGTCCTTCTCAGGACAACAATTCTCAACAGCTACAAAAACTGTCCTTCTCAGGACAATAATTTCTACAGCTGCACAAACTGTCCTTCTCAAGACAACAATTCTCAACAGCTACAAAAACTGTCTTTCTCAGGACAATAATTTCTACAGCTGCACAAACTGTCCTTCTCAGGACAATAATTTCTTCAGCTGCACAAACTGTCCTTCTCAGGACAACAATTCTCAACAGCTACAAAAACTGTCCTTTTCAGGACAATAATTTCAACAGCTACAAAAACTGTCCTTCTCAGGATAATAATTTCTACAGCTGCACAAACTGTCCTTCTCAAGACAACAATTCTCAACAGCTACAAAAACTGTCCTTCTCAGGACAAACATTCTCAACAGCTACACAAACTGTCCTTCTCAGCAGAATAATTCTCAACAGCTACAAAAACTGTCCTTTGAAGGACAACACTTCAACAACTAAAAAAACTGTACTTCCCAGGGCAACGCTCTTCTCGCCTGCTACATGAACTTGCAGAGATTTTTGCCTAATTTGCTGTAACCCCTTTTTGTCGATGTATTTTCTTTAACGAAAATAAACTTTGTCGATTTTTTTTTCAATAAATTCTTCGTATTGTTTGTTGTCTTCCGTCATTCAATATCGGCACAAGACATTTTAAACACAAATTTGTTTATTTATTTCTTCTGTGAGCGTGTTTATCAGTTTGTTCGTAGTAAATTTGATAATATCGAGGTCGAGAGATGAAGAGTCGCCATAGAAAAACAAGACTAAACGACAGTCACAAGGCAATAAAAACTAATGGCTAAAATTATGTGCGGAAGAATTAAGAAGAAGGAAACCTAAATAGAGAAAGAGAGAAGGAAAAGTTAGCAGAACGAGCAGAGTTGAACTAATAAGTTAAAAAAAATACAATTTCTCTCACTACCAAATCATCTCAAGTACGCTGATGTCATAAAAAAAATCAGAGAGCGTAATTCCTGTAAGGTGTGATGGATGCATGTTCATCTAGTCTTAACCGAACCCAGGTCTCGGTATTTTGAACTTCCGATCTCATCTATATCCATGCGTATATTCTTATGGGAGTTTTTATTTAATGTGACCATGTGCCTGCTTCCTTTCTTTATTTGTCTACTACTAGTTTGTTTTTTTATTTATTTTTAAGGGTGACCTGTGCGTAGATCACAAGAAAAACGGAAATAGAAGTAAAGCCAAAAGATATTACTCCAGATAATCCTCGGGTTTGAATCGTCGATCTGAACAGTTTAATGAAGACAAATTACAGTCCCTGATTCAGGGTGGAGGGCGTTAGACGCAATTTTTACTAGTCACGTTCTCGCAATGTTAAACATATTTTGTCATATTGTCATTAATTTTTTACTTGTCTTTCTTTCATCTTTTTTCTACTGTCGTTTTTATATCGGGACTCGCAGACTATCATTCTAAAGTCGTTAGTAAGCAGTTCGTTATCAAATATAAGGAATAAACCGGTCTAAGATACAAAGACGAATTCATTTTCTTGAAATAATGTATGTATTTTATTGGCTGTTATAATTGTATACCTTATGACATCGATTGTAGTCGTTGGGTTTGGGAAGTCTTTTGACAGTATCCCTACGTCAATGCAGGCTGCTTTGCTGAAGTATAGCCGCTTGATCTTTTTGCATATGTATAGGGCTTGTTTAGTTGTTCTTCCTTGGACGATGAATTCCACGGGGAGCCAACCCTGACATACGAGTGTAAAGCCTCCCACAGCTCGGACGACTTTTTTTGATGGAATGAGGTTGTTGGTAGTGAGCCCCATATTCAGAAGGTGCTTAAGTCTTCCGAGACATATGGTAGCCCCACTGTCAGAAAAGATCGTCATCCTAGTGCTGCGATTTCTGGGGATATTCTTAACTTGTCTGGGATCCGGTTTTGGCGAGAATGGAACAACATATGCATCAATTTCCCTTACCTGGCCTGTGTCTTTAGATGTATACGTGCCTGTCGTTTAATTGAATGTAATGTGGGCGATAAGTGTGTCCATGGCGGCTTCATTAGCCTCTGGGCTTTTCCTTACTGCTTGAGCCAGTTTCTTAGCCCGGCATACCCTCGATAGGTGATTGGGCTTCCCACAATTACTACATGTTTGTCCCCATGCTGGGCATTTTAGCCGGCGGGATCCAGTTCCTGAGGTGCCGTGCTGGTGGTGGCTACCACAACCTAAGCAAGCCTGGTGGTTTGGTTTAACATTGCAGTTGCAATAGGTGCTGGTACGGATCCCCTCGTTGGCTTGTGGCGTACCCTTCTGTCTGCGGTATGTTGATAGCCGAGCAGGGGCTGTATCTGAAGTGCCAGCCATTGAGGTTTGGTCTCGCAATGCTGATTCAAATGCCTCAGCATGACGGATATTTTGCTCAAGGGATTTAAGTGCCCCAGCTTTGGCCAGTAGGTCAGCCTGGAGTGTGTCATTTGCTATTCCACGGATGATCTGGTCCTTGATGTATATATCAGACAAGTCATGCTCACACGAGGGGCAGGTAAAGTTACAATCAACAGCTACGGCACTGAGGCGGACAAGGTAACTTTGTATTGGCTCATCCGCATCCTGAGACATGGAGGAAAAAGCAAGGCGATGGACAATAGGACTTGACCTCTGGGTGACCAACGTTTCTACCATGTCAAGTAGCTTATCTGGATCAGTGGTAAAGAAGTTAGGGTGCGTGTTGATTATGGCGTTTTGCACAGTCTCATCAGCACAATTGTATAGGTGAATATTAGCTTGGGAGCTTGGCATATTTGTCATCTTGGTAAAGACATCCCACTCAATTCGCAACTTCCTGAATTGTTGTGGTGTCATCTCGAGATTGAGATGGGGAGGCTTGGCTGCTAGTGCCTGAATGCGGGTTGTCTGGGTGGTGACTTCCTTAGCCTGCTTGATGATACACAGGGCTTCTCACATTAATGCGACTCCGAGCTCCCTAAGCATGGATCGATCCAGCATATGAAGGCTCTCGATTGTCAGTTTCTCGTCTGCAAACCTTGTTGCATGAGTTTTGGCCGAGTCAGTGGATAGGCCTGCTTCAAAGAAGAAGAGTTCCCAATCTTCGGGTGTCATATATCCTGTTCACAGCGCCATGTAGAAAAATCACGTGGTAGAGATAAACACTTAGTTGTGGAGCAAGCTAAGTGAACACTAATCCAACCTTTAGAAAGAGAGCTATTTATGTTGCCATAGAGCATCTCATTGTGCTAAAGTGGGATAGTCCATTGCTTGGGCTGTGATTGGCTGCTGGTACCTGAGTGGAGGTATTTCTATATAAATACCAGCTTGATTCAGCTGTTAGTTTGCAGGGTTTGTATTAAGTTACAACCTGCTTTATTTTTGTCTGCCAGCTGGACGCTAGCTGGGACCTTTACACCGGTAAGTGCTGTTTATTATTGTTATTCTACAACGTTGAAATCATAGGGATAATGACAACATTTGCTTACGCCATATCACGTTGAACCACCAGTTCCCGTACTATAATGGAAGTTAAGCAACGTTGAGCTTGGTCAGTACCTAGATATGTGACCGCTTGGGAATACCAGATGCTGTAAGCCTGGATGTGCATGGCGTGTAATAGATAATGGCTAAGTCTTGTTAATAGGTGAGGTGAGTTCCAATTTCAGTTGTGTTCGTTATATTCACTTAGAAATACACTCAAGAAAGGTAGGAATCGATGTATTCTCTCCTCAACTATGGATTAATTAGTTAGCCTTATATCACTAAATCATTATTATGTAAAAAAAATTCTTAGAATGTAAAATTATTTTCTGGTATTTAAATGAATCAATAAAACCATGTCAACACTTGACTTGTTTGATGGATAGTTCAGAAATCAGTGTATCCTTTCGTCTATTTCCACTGACATTAAAACATGCGTATAGATACTACTTTAAGTGAAAATATACTGGCTCGGAGACCTCAGAAACATAGCTTCGAGAAATAACTTCGTAAAATAGAGAACCATGTACAAATGAATTTTACGGGACAGACAGAAAATTTTTAAAAAATAATAAGAAAAAAAGAAATATTAAAATATGTCAGACACGATGGATAGATAAACTAATTTTTATTTATTTACTTTTAATCAAGCTCCTTATCCAATTTAGAAAATTTTGAAAAAAAATAATTGAATTCCTCAATTCATTCCACTGAACTTCAAAACCTCACTTTAACTCTTATTCGGACTATAAATCTAGTTCTGACCAAAAGAACGATTTTGTCCGAAATTCCAATTCAGGTCAAAAATTGAGTTCTTCAAATCACAAAATCTGAAGAACTTCAAAACTTCACGTCACTCTGGTTCCTTGGCATTTCGAAAAAATAAAATTGATTTCTTTATTCACAAAGTTTTAGGGATATTTTTAAACTTAACGTTTTTGTGCTACTTAAACTCAATATATATTATAAACTTTTAAAATCACTAACATTTTTTTCGGTTATTTAAAAAAAATGAATTTTTACATGTTCCCTCCACATCCGGACACAAATTCCAATGCTGGATGTTCTAACACCAGATTATGGTCATATTTTCAATCCCGGGATCATCCTGATTTCAAAAGTAAATAATATGTATATGTAGACTCTATGTGGACCGGGATAGATGGGTTTCAGACACACAGATGAACGGACAGAATTTGCTGTTTATTCATTTAGATTAATGAAAATTAGGAGTAAAAATACCTCTCAAAAACTCATACACACAAGTAGGTGCTGTAAAAAAAAATTCTGCCTGTCCCCGTTAAAATTAAAATAATCTGATACGTAACAAAGAAATGTTGGAACTTCTAGGTAACCCTGTTATATTTGGGAAGGATATTAGAATAATCCAACACCTATGCGAGGTGTAACGCGTTTGCATACGGATAGAAAATGAATTTTAGTAAATAATCAAAAATAGGAAGGGGTGTAAGAAAACGATGTGTCTTCTCACCGGACTTATTCAATCTATACGGTGTAGCTATTCTGATAGAATTAGATGGCCTACCAGGATTCATCGTTGATAACAATATACTTAACAACAAAGATATGCAGAAGAAAAGAAATTATAAGAATTCCTACAGAAGGCAGTGAAGGAAATCGAGAAGAAAGGTCTAGACATCAATTGCAAGAAAACATTGTATGGTTGTTTGCAAAAGGAACATCCCAACATATAAATTACGAAGTAGGAATACTAAATTCAACCCGTGCAACAATTTAAATATCTGGGAAGAACAGAAAGTGCGGCACTGAAATCCGAAGGCGCATTGAGATATCGAAAGATACCTTTGTTCCTCATTGGTGCACACTGCTAGTGGAGCGGCTATGTTTACACGGTAACAGCAGCAAGAAAACTGGCACGATCAAGCTCAAACTGCGATCTCGTAACCAAAATAGTAGCAAGAAATTACTGTCGAGTAGTTTGCAACACGTTTATTTATCATCTCTCAGTTACGTTTCTGTCTTCGGGCAGAGTGCATTCAGGGACGGTTCCGTCAAGTGACAGAATCGCTACTGGGGGAAATTATAGTGAGAAGTGACCAGTCCTGGGGAAAAGCTGCCTGAGGCCACGCCCTCTCATTGAGGGATCGGTGCTCGTACAGAGTACAGCGCAAGAGACGGTTGCGGGGACTCGGGCACTTTTTTTCTTAGCCCAGGTGTACGCGTTCGGGCTACCCATATTAAACCGACCTTGTGTCACAACCTGAACTCATTTGGTTCTGAGTAAATAAAAAAAAAAATAGTAGCATTTATAAACTCGCATGAACCGAAGGCATAACTACCAAGTTAAAGATATATATGATGGCGAAAGTGTGGATAATTTTTTTTTTACTTACCCTCGGGTGTGTGTATGTGTGTGTGTGTGTGTGTGTGTGTGTGTGTGTGTGTGTGTGTGTGTGCGTGAAAGAGAATGACACATGGGGGCATTAATTTTTTTCTGAAACAATGTCTTAAATAAAAACAGAAGAAAAGCGAAATGTTGCAATGTTAAACATACGGGGCCCCGCCTTATTAATAAAGTCCACAGAACTGAATATCCCAGGGGATCATCCAAGGAATCAAGTGTGGCATTAAATATGACCAGAACAAAAACATTTGGCAAAAAATAAATCTTAAAACGAGAATAGAAAATATGTCGACCAGATTTGTCTCTTGACGAAAATAAATACACACAAATTTGAGTTACACAAAAAAGTCTAAACTTTTTCACGTTGTACATATATATAACTAAGTTTGTATGTAGGTACAATTGGAATCTATGTCTTCGTCTCTCTGCATCTTACAAAAACAAAAAAAAAACATGTGCTTGGGCGTTTAACCTCAAATGTTACTCTTAACTGAATTTTAATCGTAAATTTTGAATGAATAAACAAATTAATTGACAAGGAAAGAGACTATGTTGAAATTTATGTAAATTAAGGGATTTCCTTCGTCAGTAAACGTTAATCGTAAATATAGGTTGTTCCAATAACATGGACCGATTTTAAATGTGAATTAAGTTTAAGCGTCTAATGATTTTTTTTCACATTAAACAAATTAAGTTTTTGGTAATTTCAGTCATAGTAAAATTAACAAACAATGTGTTAAAGTTATCGAAGCTTATTACGAAAATGGACGTTCAAATTTATAAATATACATCCTAATGATTTCGCTAGGAAAAATGCATGCTAAACAGTGACCTTTTGTGGGTGCAATGGATTTCAACACTCTTCTTTGGATTTTCATCAGCCCAAATGCGACAATTTTGCTTATTAACGAATCCACAAGGATGAAAATGGGCTTTATCACTAAAGAGGATATTTTTGCAAAAAAAATTCATCCGCTTGTCTTTGGTCGTGCACCCAACTGACGAATGTACGGCACTCCAAATGGTCAGCAGGTTTCAGTTCTTCTGTCAATGGAATTTTGTAAACGTGTAGAGACAAATCTTTTGCTAAAATTCGATGTAACAATTTTTTTGTTAAAATTCGATGTAACTTTGTTGTGGAGAGGTTCAATTCCTGCGCACGATGACGTCTGGATTTTCGGCCACATTCTCGTGCACTGTTTTTCAGCTTTCAGCTGAAGCGTAAGCGAGCACTCAGTGGTGTTTTCACATCTGCCACCGACCCAGTTTGTTTGAATTTACGAACAATTTTTCCATTTGCACTCTCGGTTAGTCGATTATGTTCACCAAAACATAATGAAGTGCACGAAATGCATTTCTGTTTGAATGTCCATTTTTGTAATAGGCTTTGATAATTTTAACACGTTGTTTGATTATTAATCTTTAATTTAAGTTGTTAAATCTGAAAGAAAAAGAAAAAATCATTAGACGCTTAAACTTAATTCACATTTAAAATCAGTCTAAGTTATTGGAACACCTGATATAACTATGTGATCGTGTGAGTCTGTTTTTAAAGAGACGAAATTTTTAAAGTCTTTTTTCATTTTTTTCTCGATAATTTCTGCCCATTTTCCTGGTTACCGTTGAAACACAAAATATAATGTGTTCGATGTCTGAATATTTCAGGCAATCATTGGCCACCCAGAAAATGCCTGTATTTTTTTTTTTCACATTTTTTCAAATATTGCGTCTTGACATTACCTTTAATGACGTAGTGTCATTTTCTTAAAACCGTAAACTAGTAAAATATTTCGAAATATGTATATATGAAAAAAAAAGCATTTTTTTCACTCTTTATATGTGAACTGTTATCCTCATCTTTGTTTTTTTTTTATCACAACGTTTCTGCCGTTATGTCTTCCGGCCTTCCTCAATTGTATGTCGATCTTGGTAACCTACAGGAAATATCGAGTTGAATCCTTTATTTAACAGACCGAATAGACTGTTCTCGTTCAAATGCCTATGTCTTGTGGTATCATCTTGTTCTATTTATTCAGAACTGTTCAGTTATTGTTCGCTTAGTTTTCCATTGAGTTCAAGTGAACACCGCCCGACCAGGGACTGAACTCACAACCATTATGTCACCAAATTCACAAACCAAGGCTTTTAGCCATTGGACCGTACGAAAATTGCTGTTGTAAACTTAGATCTATAAACCTAAACATCAGTGTTGATTAGACATCCACTGCTGCTGGCTGTCATGTTTTAATTACTGTTGCTGAAGACTTGCTGTCATTTGTATTTCTTGCTTTATTAACGGCTCCCATACTGTATTTATTTCTACACTAGGCCTACTGAGTAGGTCTTCATAGCTCAGCATATGCAATAATTGTTTTCAGATGTCTAACTCTTTAGTGTTTTTCCAATGCAATATTTTTACCCTTTAACCTCCAACCAAAACATCCCTTGGTTTTTAAGCTAACATTTATACAGGAAGAATTGCTGCACAAATACATATATAGATTACTTAATTTGATATTTTTTTCTTTTAGATCTTTTGGCAGGTCATCTGTTGGTCACACCAATGTTTTGGATATTTGGGTTTTATATATATATATATATATATATATATATATATATATATATATATATATATATATATATATAATAATAAATATACATTTTTAAAAAAGAATAATGACTTGTTATTTATTAATCCAACAAATTTCTCATCACTTTAAACGCTATTC